TTCCAATGTTTCACTGTGACTAATAATTATCATTATTCGGCGAATTTAATGACAATGCTGAGAAGTGACCGATTATAATGTCTTTTGGTTCTTGTCAAATTTTCTTCCCCATTTCGGAACAACTGCTTTGGTACTGCGTTCATCTTCAGCAGTCTCGAAAATCCCTTCCATATCAAGAAGTATCAGTCTTATCTATGATTTGAAATTCAACTATCGCTTAACCACGTATTATTTGAGATGAACTCAAATGAGCAAAAACAAAAATCAAAAATGATTCCGCTTACTCTGTGATATATTTTGAAAGATGTTGGTTTTGAAATGAATTCTTCAGCTTCATGTTTTCTCAATGGACCAATATAAGCAGCGCGTATTGTGGCTAACTGTTCGTTGTCGGATTGAACGTTTGCCGTATGAATAACACCATCTTGACTATCGAAGCTATGGTCAACAAATACAAATTTAAGATTAATTCAGTGGAGAAATGCCACGGAAACGATCAAAAACCGATGCCACTCAACTTGATGCTAGACGACAAATCACAGATTAATAAATGGGTGACAGTTTTTTTCATGCTAGAGCGGAAAAGGTATAAAGTGGATGGAGAAAGTCTCGGATCACTCGGAAGTCATAATGATGTAGATTTGAACGCACTGATCCATAATGTAGCAATATAGCACATGATGGTGTTTCTTAATGGGAGGAAGCATAGTGTCAAGAAAGCTCGCGTTCGAACGGTTAAAAAGAAACGTGAATCAAAGGACCACTGGCAGAGTTCTTACTTGCATAAAATACAGTCTCAATCAATCGAGGAGAACACAGAAAGGATTCGCATGTACTCTTTAAGTGCATTTCTCGTATGGTCAACGAATGTGAACACTATGAATTGTGAAGTTTACGGTGTAAGGATATGGAGTGTTGTTGGAAAAGCTTAGCGATTTGTGANATTAAACGCCTAATATTTCTAGCTTGAAAACTGGAATGATGAGTTTAGAGGATAAACTCTGGATTAGTGATCTTTGATCGTGGGGTTATTCATTCAACAGTTCATATTCAATAGCGCACGAAACAAATGGACTGATAGAGTACTGCCTTATCAAATCACGCATAGTTTTTGATGATATCGAGTAAGGAATTACCAATTGAAAGTATCGTACGTGTTGGGTGACGAGATGTTTAAATTTTGATCATTGTCATTATTATTCAAATCCTTTTTTGAGAGTTTTTCAACGCCGCCTTCAGCCATCAATGCGACGCGTTCTATGTGGCGCTTTTCTTTCGATGATCTCATCTGCAGTTTACTTACTTCGAATCAACTTCTTATCATTGAAATTTAAAAGAAAACGAACAATGTACCAAACGAAAGTATTCTAGACCTCGAAGTAGCGTGGTTTTTTTCAACGCTTAAAAATATTTTATAGACTATTGAATTGTAAAAGTTTTCCTATTGCTTAGAGAATTTCCTGTCAGGGAAAATTAAATGCATTGCTTCGGGTTGATTTAATGTTATTTATTGGAGTCTAATTGAAAATCATCGAGCTAAAGGTGTTCAATAACTAAAGGGTGTTCATTCGCAGTGTTCCAAGATTAGGGAAAGGATCAGTTTTAGAATGAAAAAAGATGGTCGTATATAACCTGATGACGACTGTTTTCATCGTTATTTCTTGTCACCTTAGTCTCGTATCTAGCAGACGGTGACTGACCCAAATAGCTCAAACTGTCCGACTTGGAACGCAATGATCCTTCTTGATTCCACTCACCAAGTGGCACATCAAGAGCTGACAGCAATATCATTATTTCACAATCAACAATTCCACTGAATTATAAGTCTACTCAGCATTCATGTCCCACAAGGCTCATTTGCATTCTTTTCAGTCGATGATGAAATATCAGTTATTAAGTGATGCTGAGAACATGTAACGAAACTTCACATCATAATTGTGCTCGTATGTCAACGAAAGAGATAAACTTGAAGTAGTACTGAAGGAATAGGTGACATAAGTGCGTAATACGATATCGCTGCTCGTTCCTTACAGCAAATCACTTTGTCAGTGAATTTCCATGAAATTTCAGTGGTAAAAACTCAACATGTTTCCAACAAGTTTCAAAAAGAATTTCATCTCACATTGGCGTTCCACTTTACGTTTGAGTCCATAAGAGATTGCATTCGATGTCGAATTTCTTTCGGATGAAATATTTTTCGGCATAAGACCATAGTACGGTGGTGATTCACGGTGAGGCTGCTCAGATTGACGCTTTTCGTCGATATCGTCTTCGTCCTCACTGTTTCCCTTTAAATTCAAAACAACTGCATGAATGAAAGACCACATTTCTGTGCTGTTGCTTTATGCATTTATCATTTGCTAATTTGAACTTCAGCAATTGATTCGCTTCATGTTCAAGCCGGTTCAGCTCAAAATCAGCTGAATATGCAGTCAGTTGCTGGATGAATCGATGCAGTATGAATGGACTGAAAACGCTTTGTTACGAATCTACCTTTTCAAGGCGTGAACAGCATCACGCCAGAATACGAGAATCAATCCCGAAACGCACGCAACAACACGGATATTTCGTGATGAATAAATAGTTCGTTATCATTCGAAAAACAATTCAAAACCAATTAACAATTATCCGACCGCACGAAATGCTCAGTCGCAAATACGTCAACAACTCACTTTGAGTGCACTTTTTTAGAATAGCCGTCGTATATAAACACCTTATGAATAAAATAATTATGTATTTACCTTTGACGAAAGTTTTTTAGCAATGGAGCACGCCCTTCCATGAATGCAACACTCAACCATTGCGAATACAATATTTAATCAACTAGACCACTTTTGACGTCCCTTGAAAAAGATAATGAACAAAACGATGCATTCTTCAGATCATCATCCATTCGAGATTTTGCATTTACAACAACTCTAATCAAATTGAGAATTTAAGTAAAACCACTTCATGCAGATGGAAATTTCGAAGTCTCCAACCCGGCTTGCCCTAAACGATCACTTTGAACCAACGGAAACTTGGGTATAAACTCGTTGCACGGATGCAATATTTCAATGTTGATTTCCATACAGCTCCTAATGTTACTCCTTTGAGAGCTCAAGTCCAAAACTTGAATATGATGGGAATGCAAAGACCAATACATTTTTTGTATAACTGCACCAAATTGCAACGTGTAAAGACGAGATACAGCTGGGAATGGCTTGAAATGTTGTGTGCTTCGTCCGGAAAGTTCACCAGTGGCGTGTTTTGTGTCCCGGTGAAAACTGACATACTACAAACGACCCGGCAGCAAGACAGTTCTCAACACAGGCAGGTAACCAGCCGCTGGTTGAAGCGGAGCTGTGCTACAATCGCTTCAATTAATGTTTCTTCAGTTGAGTCTACACCATTAATTGTTCAGGAGGGCTCCTTCTGTGACAGTGATGGCATCCATTTCATACTAACAATATCCACGACAACCAATCACCAGTGGATTGATTACCTGACTATCGTGATATGCTTTCATGATGCACTATTCTGAGTTTGTACACTTTAAGAATTAGGACTACTTTAAGAATTTATTCAAAAAACAACACATTTATAAGGATATCAAATTATCGACTGAATGAAGATCAATTAATAAGAAGCGATATTGATTTCGAACGGTGCATGTGGTGTCGCTTCTTCAGTTGAGTCTTTGCCATCGTTTGCTCTCGTACCACCAGCTGCCACCAAAGCTACTATCTCCTCCTGAAGCAATTCTCTTTCTTATTATAAGATCAACTCACACATTCAACATCACCATAATATACCGGCAAAATTGTAACTCTTATTACCACTAGTGTAAAACTACACAAAAATTACCAAACAACTCTTTTTACAGTCATCATTGATACACCTTTTCCTAACCTTGCATATACCACAGTCACGAAAAATGCAACAATCACAAGAAAGACGGTCGTAAACTCATTGAAACGATACAAAAGATGGCAAACTAAAAACAATCATTATTATAACAACCTTCTCTTGACCGGCCCTCTTGTCCCTTAGCATAATGATGCCACCTTGCGAAAGAGACTTCAACGGTTTATAACGACTATTCTCTGGCATTTGAAGAGTTTTCAGTTGTAGACGCACCACACGAGCCGGATTTTGGAGATTGTGCGTTAGTGGCTCTGACTCCTTTATGGATACACTGCAACAATTTATTCTTTTTACAGTTCAACCGAGCACAAAAATACTGATAATCACTTAATAAGTGCATTCAATTGAACATATCCGTTTATCTGCTTATGTGACATTTGCATTCTCGACAGTCAATTACATTCAATGACGATAAGCAAATGAAAAAAGGCGAATGTCATGAATTAACATCGTCTGATTGACGAGCGATAGATATCCTCTGTGAACACCTTAAAAAAAAGCGTCTCTTTCTGAGAAGATGAGACGAATAACAAAGTAATGCTATTATCAATTGGTAATGCATCAAAATACACGATAAGCCAGCCAATCCCACTGTACCACAAAAAAGCACACAATCGACCAAAAATGTGACAGCAGACGAAAGTAATTATGCGGATGAATTCGATAAACTTCTATTAAGTGTCACCAAATAAATCAGNTCTCGATCCTCTCACATAAAACGCCAATTGCACATAAAACGCTTTTTCGTCAACGCTCAACCGTACTGCAGTCGTTGATTTATCGACGCAATCCCACAAATGGTCAAAGCCACACAGTCTCGAGTTTGTTTTTCTGATTTCGCGATGAACACCCAAGAGAAAGATTCATTTTTTGACGATTTGCTCACAGTACGCGAAAGAATCGTCTTCTGAATTTGAAAAATAAATTTCTTTTCAACAAAAATGCGATGAACATTTCTGCTAACCTTTTCGGCTCAATTTTATGTTCAGAAGCAGTCGTATCGGCTGTGGACGTGGTATCCACTTCCATCTTCTCTTCACGATTCTCTTTGTCCTTTTCCTTTTCCTTCTCCTTTTCTTTCTCTTTCGCTTCGTCTCGTTTTTCTTTCTTCTCAGCTGTTGACATTTTCTTCTTGTTCGTAATCGAAAGCACCGCTGTTTCAACCTATCAAATTAAACGTTCCCTTATTAAGCTACACAATCATTTTCAGCACCCACTTAATCTCTTCATTCACATTAATCCATTTCATTAACTCCTGAAATCGAAACCTTCCAGCCGTTAAATCAAACAAGACTTGTTCCATAGTCAAACACTCACTGATACGCTCGCACTCATTGCATTCCGCAACTAATTTTGGTAAACAGAATGCTTTCTCGATTGCATTCGCTAAATGAAATGAACGCATAATACTCCGCACAACACAACATCAACACTACGAGGTGAGTTTATGAACAAAATGTGCACAAGAAAAAGCACAGAACGCAGCACCTTTTCGTTTTCCTCCTTCTTCTTCTCTTCAAGCGGTGGCGGATATGCGAACGTCGATGGCTTTGCGTTTGAACGGAACTCCGTTTTTGGCATCTAAAATTCATCCTCCAATTAAACTTTTCTCCTCGTACAAAAAATAGCACAATGAAACTTAATTGACAGTCTGTTATTATTTGTTGCTCCGAATGCAACCACAGGCAACATGCGTCTAACTAACACTAAGGATAATTCAGTCCCAAAATCAGCACTTGAACAAGTGATCCTTAAACAATTGCCTTCTGGAAGAACCCTTTTCAATGTGCCTATGTGTTCGAAAAGAGGGGAGAGAGGTAATTGTTTGGGAAGTGTTAAAACAGTGAGACAGATCATTAAGCACTCTCACTAGTAGTCAGTTCTACAGTTATAGACCAATCGGTCAATTACAAACTATAACTTGGTACAACGATCGAAAACTCTCATAACATATACAATCTACATCTCAAAGCAATTTTTGCGGATAATTTCATCTTATCTTGCATTACAAATCACTAATATACATATCCATATCTAAAAAAATGTATTTCTAGAAGATAAGCAATGTTACCTTTACAAAACGCCAATACAACACTTTTCCTATTCACAAAAAATTCCACCATCAAATCGTAATGCAAAAAACCCGTTAAATCAAAAATGATCACTATAATAATAAGAACAACAAAGAATGAGATAAACAAACCTCTAAGTTGGCATTGAGTCCAATCAAACAAGTCGGTTTGAATGCTAATGATGCGAAATGCGCTAACGAATGCCAATACCAGTACTGCAGAAATACAAAAGTCCCGACAACACTCTGCATGTCCGAATGTCCACTGCGATTGTGCAATGAGATGGTCACATTACGACCGCCGGCATCAATTATACCTTGTGCTAGGATTGCACCTAATTTCGTGATTGAATCTTCACCTTTCTCGGTTATCATCTGAAACAGTTTCTGTCAATCTATTAAAATATCGAATGAAAACAAATTCACTATGGATTTGACTTGAAAATTCTCATTTTGAATTCAGTTTTCAACTATGAATGCAAATACATGAACATGAAGAACGTACAGAAATCAATTGATGATCAAAAGGAACAACATGACAATTTTTATTGAATGAATAAGTTACTCTGATGAAGTTTCATTTCATTTTTCACATCTTTTGGTACCCTTTCTGGGAAAATCATACATGTGATCATCCATAAGAAGAATATTGCAACCGAAAAAAAGTGAAATCATTTTTGAAGTTGAGATAATACAATCATTTTTGAATGAATAAAGTAAATTGAGTAGAGATAATAATGATGAACGGGCAATATATGAACGAAATGACCTTAGTGAGAGTCTTGCGGAACTCGTTGACTTTCGGCGAGCACGCATCGGTTTGCTGTATCAGAATGAACGACATCGCAATCACAGCACCTTGACGAACGAAGTTCTCTTTGGCTGACAGCAATGGCTCGAGCAGCGCAATCGCTTCCTGAAACAATAAACAATAGGAGGATAGCGATGAAAATAATTCTAAAAACGAAAGGAAAAGATAGACTCAAAGTGATTTGGAGCCAATTTACAACAATTTACAGAGACTGTTCGAAAGTAATCAAGGTGAGACAATGCGCAGAAATGCTTAATATTGAATCAGTTTGACGTAGACTGTCGATCACCATCGACATAATGTTCTTCAATTTAATCATATCCATCGACGCACGCGATGTCTCGTGAATTCGCTCAAATTTGACGTCAAACTCGACGAATGTACTTTGTGCGGTTCTCTTTCAAGGGCTTTTCATTGGTTTTTTGATTGATTTTATGATATGATGAAGGAATTAGAGATCACTCTACGTCTTTCGGAGTGATTTCTAATCGCTCCCTAACACCAGAAAACTAATTTGATTACGATAATCGAAGGCATTTCCTCCGATTACCGTAATCAAATCTCAACAACAAATGCCCGAAAGCTCATAACGTTCTCGTCAGAAGTAGTTAATTAGGCTGGACAGAAACGAATTCGTAGAAGTTCATCCATTACGCTCACACTTTTACGAAAATGCGTCAACAATGCCATTATTCGCACTGGAAATGTCATTACCCATTATATGACTGACTGACTGACTAAAAATCACAAGATCAATTCTTTGAAGACACATCCAATCATTGGAAACGGCGTCAACCAAAACGACGATAACCTCAGACGAATGACTGTTAAAATACGTTACATGAAGGCAATAATTCACTGAATCCTGCACTGAACGACTAGGAAAACAACTGTGAATTTCCGCAACAAAAAAATAAGAATAAGCCAACAAAAAAGTATAAAGTATAATTTTTGTAATTTCATTCAACATTGATGCCCGATTTGCTCGTTACAGCCAATGACCGCTTGAATTGATCTCAAATGCTCGTTCGTTCTGCATCTGTTTCGATAATGACTACTGACTTTTTGTCCATTATTCAAATGAAAGATTGAATTTCACGCTCTGTTCAGTACAGTAAATGTCGATTTCCGAGAAGCACTGAAGTGCCATCGCAACACAACTTCCTTGCTCTGAATACATCGCTCATAATTCGATTTCGTAATATCGTTCCCCTTTCGAAACAAGCCAACGTTATCATGGAAGAAGAGGAAAATTTCTGCATCCATCCACAACGCCAATCGAAATCAAATTGAAATTATTCTATAGTGCTATCATCAATATTTTTGCTTGCATGCAAATGTGTCGGAAATGCAATCCGAGTGCGTAACGCGATGCACAATGCAAAAGTAATAACGAAGTAATAACACATCGTTGTCGACTAACTGCCATTCATAATGTGACCAATAAATATTGCAATATCGTTTTTAATGTAGCAAATGCATTTTTCTCCCAATCAAATCCTCATAAATCATTGCTTCGCATCACTCGAACGAACGAACGAACGAACACAACAAAACAATCACATTATATCCATCAAAAC